ATTCACCCGGAGGAGCTGGCCCAAGTGGCTAGGGAGCAGGAAGTCTGGGCCTCTCTGCTTAGGCTGCTGCCCCCACGACCCAACCCCAGTTAAGCGGATGAAAAAGGATGGATGGATGAGTGGGTGACTAAAATGCAACAATAACATTTGCACAGTTGTCACGAATCAATCAAAGCCTAGTGAGAAATTAGGCAAAAGTTTGTCATTAATAAAGAAACCTTCTGAACTCTGTGTCAGAGACTCACTAATCTAAATAAAATACAGTCATTTAGTACCCCGTTTTAAAAATGTCTTCACAGAACCATCATTCTGATCCAGTTCATAAACTTTTATTCATTTATACATTCTATTTCCATGTTTCTTCGTTGTTTCAGCACAGATGTTTGCATGACCTAACATAATTCCGGTTCCAAGTTTTATTGCTTAAATCAGCAACTGCACTGACAAGTTTCACTCCTTTAAAGGTCAGCAAGCAAACAAGCTTAGAGTTTTGTTCCGGTCTGATTTGTAGCACAAATCCGGCTGATGCAGCACTGTGCGTCGTGCTTCCCCACATCGCAAGGACAGGTTCTCTCAAGCATCAACAGAGACTTGGTTACCATTTTGCATAAACACTTGTCTGAGACTTAATAAAGCAGATCACAAGAGAAAAGCAAACACAGCTGATGAACTCTGCATTTTCTCTCTTTGAGACTGAAATTAAGTAAATTTAGCACTGCTGTGGGACTTGGGCTGATTAAAACATCTTTTTGTTGTGGAGGGACATTTAAAAAAAAGCCTGCAGTTCCACAAGTGTTTCTACACATAATTTAATAGAACAATAGGAGAATTATGCAAAGCTCTAAGCCAGCTATAGAAAACACATGACTTCTGCATATTTCCAAGAGATGGCATAATTAGACTTCAAAAGAAACTCACAGCTTGGGTCAAAGCAGAGTTGTAACACAAACAGATTTGATTCATTTTCTCCAAAAAAGGTTTTAATGCTCATTAAATAAACTACATTTACACTTGCCAAACATAGAATGTCTGGTGTTATTTCATTTTCTGTGTGGATTTAGTGTGCACAGAACACAAACTCCATTGATCTTCCCACTAAATTTTGAAGCAAAACACATAAAAACAAATAACAAAAAAAAAAACATAAGTGCACAGAATATGCAAGCTGTGAGGTTAGTTGGTAAAAGTTGTAAACACCTCAATTACAGACGTAAGCCGAACCAAACGGCACCGAGACCCTGGAAGGTTGCGCTCACCTTCATGTACGAGCATGTGCGTTCATCAGTCGATGGTGAATTGGAGCTGCGCTGACAAAAGAGCTTAATTTACCCTCGCTGAAGTAAGATTAATTGAAGGTGTCGAGGTATGAAGCAGCAAATGACAACACGTCTTTGGAATGGTTACAAGACGTATGAAGAGAGTGAATAAGAGAGAGGTTTGGTTGTGATGCTACAAGGTTTCTTCAGAAGGTGTGACCATTGAGTGTTTCTCCTGGAAACCTTATGGAGCTAGGATTGGGACAATATTCTATGTAACTTGTACCAAGTTTTGTAACTTGGAACATATTTCATGACATGTAACTTTGGATTCGTAACTTGTAACTTTAGTTTTCTAACTTGTAATTCTCCATTTGTACTTGTATTTCTTGTTTTGTATCAGCAAATTTTCATTTTGTACATGTATTTTTTATTTTGTAATTTTGTATTTACTACTCATTTTGTAACATCAAACATTCTTTCAGAAACATGAAACTTTCAGTTTTTACCTAGCAGACTTCCAAAAAAAAAAAAAAGTCAATGTACATGTTTGAAATCAAAACTCTCAAAACAAACATTTCATTCTACAGGTACAAACCTCAAATCTACAGTGTTACAGATCATTTTGTCTCAATTCTAGCATCGGTGGGAGGAACTTGGGTGGAACCAATGAGAGCACGAGTCTTAGCTACCAATCACGTTTCTCGAATTCCTGTCCAATCATTGGTAGAGGAGGGCAGGGTTCTGTCAGAGCTGTAGAAAGACGACACTCTTTGAACTCGCCGACTCGCGGTCACGTGGTTCATGGAGCTCTCAGTTCCAAACATCCCAGCGCCGTAAGTCATTTTGAACGGCGTATGGTGGGACAAATCACAAAAATTTAATATAATCACTTTTCCCCTGGCAATTTGTGGTAATTATTGAATATTATTATAAATTATGTCCTAACACCTTCACAAAGTAGCCTATTTATATTTTTCTGAGCATTTGTAGGAAGACAGACACCCGTGACTGTTCTACATTACAGGAATACGACAGTCCTAACACACTGTAGAACACATTTAGACCACAGGCATTACTATAATATATTATATCGGAACACAAATTTCATTCTACGAATCCAAAGTTACATGTCATGAAACATGTTCCAAGTTACAAAACTTGGTACAAGTTACACTGAATATTGTCCCAATCCTAGCTCCATAAAACCTCACTAAGAAACAACATAGTGGCAAGGCTGGAGAGAGTGTGTGTGTGAGACGGGGACAGTGTGTGTTCCAAACCATGTTCAGCCTACTTGTAAACTCAATCAACGGAGAAGCATGAGAAAGTGGCTGGTAGTGAGAGAAGGAAAAAAAAACAATTTGGGAACATCAAGAGCGTCTCCTGCTCTAACATTCACAGCAGCAAATTGGGACATCATAAGAGCAGAGAAGTGTGTATGTGAGTGAGAGTGTGTTTGTGTTCTCGGCGTGATTACTTAACAAAAAAAGTACTCAACACTCCAATCAAGACGGAAGTCGAGCAAGGAAAAACCATTTGTGAGAGAGAACAGAAAATGAGGAGAACGACTGGAAGACGGATGATTAGGGAGTTGTTAAGGAAAAAAGCTAGCCTGGTGTGAAGAAAACACTTTCTGCTCCTGCCTACGTGTTCAGTGTTCAGATGTAACTTTCAAGTGAGATAAACCTGCAGGATAAACATTTATTTTCATGAAGAATTCAGGTTCTATTCAGGAGTCTAAACCCCAACTTCACACTGGAGGCATCAGCAGAGCGGAACAGCAGTGGAGCGTTTTAACCGCGTGCGCCAATCCACACCGGGAGTGTCTCAGCCGTGGAGCGGCTTCTCCGCCGGACTCAGATCAGATCGGATCAGAAAATCCCTCAAGGTCACAGTTTGTTAATGCCATCCGCCATTAAACCAAAAAGCAGAAGGAAATCACTGTCAAATATGATGTTGTTCCTCTCCACCATCAGCATTAAGAGCCATGAAAAACACAAATCTCAAAAATACATATTGCTGGGAGGAAACACGCTGCCAGGTCACATGTATTGACGTAATCGACATAGATATGCAAGAGTCTTTTATTTAGAAAATTACCAGATGTTTTACAATGAAACCGTGTGTGATTTCTTGTCTAGTCCTGTGGAAATCGATGTGTGCCAGAAGTAGCTTGTGGCAAAAACATAACCTAATTATATCTTTAGCAGTGTGTAGCGTTATGGATATGCTATTTTCTGCCCTTAACAGCTGCCCTTTGACACAGTGACAGTGTGCATAAATTGCCAAGGTTGTGTGCTTGCTTCTCGTGTTTACATTCTAGCAAAGAAGACAGAAGAAGGACGAAGAACGCTTTTCATTAGTGAATCAAAGAACTTTATTTTTAATAAAGCTAATCAAAACAACTGTTGGTCAATAATAATCAGGTGACCGATCTGTGAAATCACAGTGTTATGATTTGTGTTTAATGAATAACAGGACTAACTGAGCTAGACACCCTGATCCACATAAGATAAACACATGACACATTGTTCACTCATCCAATCAGAACTTCCGTTCTGTTGCGGGGCAGAGTTCTGAGGTGTTTACTTAATCTGTCCACTCCGGTTGGCTAAGATTCATAAACATCTAAGCTTAATAAAACAGAACCACACCATTTTATTTCAGTTCCAACGAAGCTCTTCAACGTAGTTCAACTTGGTTCAACGCAGTTCCAACCAAGTACTCGACCAGCTCTCAAATCCATCATCGCTAAGTAAAGTACAGACTGGCCAGCTGTATTTTCTACTTTTAAGCTGAGAACTGTCAAGCTGGAAAATTCTGTCGTTTTATCAACAAGACGACGGTTCCTTCAGAATAAAAGCTGAACTCTCTACGTGACGCTGACACCTGCCGTTGCTACTGGGAGTCGATCCGTAGACTGGTTTGTCGTGCTGCAGACGCTGTGCTATCAGTTCCAGCACCAAAGGAGGGTCAGAGGACCTGGCATTCCAGATCATACACGGGAGTCTCCGAAGGTACGTAGTTCGGCATAGATGGCGTTTCATGTCTCTTCCTCCTGAAGTCCCTCGTGGTTAGTTAGTCAAAACAACATCTTACATCAGACTCGGCCCGCATCAGATGGAGATTCTGAACTGACACACACACCAACACTTCAGCTCACATCCATTTGCATCCATCATCAGAGAGTTAGTCCTGGTGATTGTTTCGAATAATTATAAAATAAATATTCTTAAACGTCCCATATTTCTCTTTTCTTGTCTCTGTCAATACAAAGTGTTTGAATAAAATTCCCTGTGGTAAAAACAACCTCTTCTGATTCTAAGGTAAGATTAATCTCTGTACCTTAATAAGTGTAAGAATATACCAACTATATTCCGCTACAGCAGCGTGGCATGCTGCCTCTGGAAGCCATCCATTTATGGACTAGACAGGAAATCACACACGGTTTCAGTGTAAAACTGGTAATTTTCAAAATAAAAGACTATTGCAGCGATGTACAGCCATTTTGGATCAATCCATAGACTATAACGGATTTTATTTGAAGCAGTGACGTTCCACTGCCATTCCACGCTGCTGATGCCTCCAGTGTATGGTCGGGGTAAGTCACAATTACTAGTTTTTGGCACATATTTGAAAATTTGTTCTAAAAATGTAATAAAGGCTGTAGGTGGCTGGCCATGTAGAGATTGCAAGCCCATAGAAAACCTTTTCAAATCCAATGAAAAACGATTGACTCACAGGTCTGAGCAGATATGCCAAGCTCTCGCCCTGTATTATCATCAAAGGAAGTTGTGTCATGGACAGAGCGTGGAAGAGGGTCTCAACAGATGCCATGATCTGGTCAAATCTGCCTCCAAGACCTCCAAGTGTTACAATGGTATCCACCTGCAGAGACAGAACACAGGAAAGCATTGCTCTGGTTATCTGGCTGGAGGTTTACCTGAAAGTGGGAGGTTCGGAGGGTCCAGGACTGTTTTCTGTACCATGCCTCTGCTTTCTCGCAATGTAAATCAAGTTAATTTAAACGACTGAATCATAGTCATTATTGAAGTGTAGCTGTATTAAAGTATGTATCAAACAACCCTCCCCTGGTAAGAAAATACCTGTGGGACTAGGGGTCCGTCCGGACAACTTCTACCAAACAACCCTCACCTGGTAAGAAAAGACCCGGGGGACTGAGGGGTCCGTCCGGACAACTTCTAGCGGTGGACTGGACCCAGTGGATCCAGATTCAACAAAAAATGGCTTTAACCAAGTCTTACGTGGTCGTAGCTGAGTCATAGTTAACACCAATTCTGAGCACTGATTGCTTTAAGTCTTATGATACTGCATTATATAATTTTGTTTCCAGGAAGGAGATCCTGGGGCAGATCCAGGACACACTGGAGGGGTTATGCCTGAGAGCACCCTGGGATTAGAGGTCAACTGATATTGTGTTTTCCTATTTCCGATACCAATGCTTATACGTAAAGGTCAAGGTCAGTTGATGGATGTGCTGCCGATAGTTTGGGCCGATTTTCATGGCCGAAAACTAGATGAGTTCTACCTTATTTGCATGATAAAAAGTCACTAATAACATCCACTGATGCACAAAATGTTTGAAGCTGAAGCAGCTCTTGAACACTGAATTTAAACACTTTTATTTTAATTTTGGGCAAACAAAAGAAAAAAAGAAGAAATTTTGGTAAAATTTGTTTTTAGAACATTTCTTTTGCAGATGTCATTCAGGAATGTAAAATATATTTTAACTAAATTCTGCAGCAGCACCGGGCTGCTCCGGATTTGCCTGATTTTAAATTGGCTTTACTGAGGTCATATCGGCCAATGCCGATATTTTTAAAAGATGTCACCCAACACATCTACCCCTAACTGAGACCCTAGCAGAAGAGCTTGTGGAGGTGACTGGGGATGCCGTTTCTGGGAGTCGGAATAGCAGAAAAAGACAGGTATGAGTTTTTTTATTTTACCCTAAATTCCAAAATAACAATCTACAAATTTCTGACCGTTATTACATTTTACCTTAATGTTTCCAGAGCAACATTTTTAGCATTTCTTTAAAGCTCAGCTGAAGATGAATTGAAAATTTCTCATAAATCTTGAAAATTAACCAATGTCCACAAACCAGCAAAAACACAAGAAGTTACTGTGACTCAGATATGGTGATTGGGGTTGATCTTTAATATTAGATAGTCTTCTTTGGATGTGTACCGTCAAAGACATATTTTGCTCTAACCAAAGGTCAGAGAAACTATTACAAAAATCAAGCAAGAAACAGATAATCTGATGTGGGTCAAACAATCCTGAAGATATTAAATGCAAACAAATTGAGTTATGTGGAAACTTAAAGCTGTTTCCTGCAGTGTCACAGATTAAATAAGGTTCAGTTAAGCTTTGGAACAATATTCACAGTTCTCAGCAGTTATATTCTTGTACTAAGTCCCCAAGCCATCAGCACCAGTGCTGACAGCCATAAAACCCAACAGAGTCTACGGGGCAAAAGAGCTGTCACAGGCTGACGACTGCCAGTCACACCAGCACACAAAATGAACCGACTTCCATCAATCACACAAATGTCAGTGTTGTTCTTTTCGTTACCTTTTGAAATGTTCAGCACTCTTGCTCAAGCTTTGGCCAAACCGGCGTTTAGAAGTGTATATATTTATAGACAAGAAGAATAAACACATTGCTCAGAAACTGGTTAATTTCTACATCAAATACCAACAAGATATTAGTTTTTAAACAGTACTTACAAATAAAGGTCAATCTAAACAAAAATAGTTTTCTTGCAAGCTTCCGGCTCTTGGAGAGTACAGACGTTTTTTTCCCTCCTCTCCTCCCTGTCTTATCCCAAGGTTCTTTGTCTGTCTCTGGGTGTACGGCGCTTTTGCATTTTTTCTGGAAAACTAGAAACTGGAAATTATTAAAATGGACCTGGTCAGTTGGTCACTCAATGCGATTGAACATTTTTTTTCAACGATGAGAACGGGAGAAGGGGCTCCCGGGTGTCTCTCTGGGACAGATCCAGTTGGGCATATCATGGACTCCTGGAAACAGTGGAACCTGATTTGCTTATCTCAACTGTCTGTAGAGGATTCTGAAGACGTCTGGATATTCGTGGTGTTGGTGTCAGGTTTCCTGCTTTTTGGCCTGGGAGGTTACCTGGCTTACCGGACAATTAACGAGCTGTCGAGGAATACTGGCTCTTTACTGGAGCTCAGGGATGGATTATACTGCGCTGTGAATGCACAGACTTATATAATTGTCGAGATGAGTCGTAAGCTTGGAACTCTGGCTGAGATTCATGCATTGGCACAAAAGATGGATGCAATCAAGGAGCGAGTGGATGAATCAGCACGGATTGGGATAGATTAATTTACACCATTATTTTGATTCAGAGGGGTTGAGGACCAGCGGAACTTTAAGACAGAGAGGAAATTATCTCTGTCTGGCCCTAAAACAATTTCTTATCCGAATCTGGTGCCCCTGAGTCTGTGAGGCTGAAACGAATACACCCCCCCCGGTCGCCATGGCTGCATCACTGACGTTTGGAGAGTCCCAAACCCTACCACCCCACCTAGTGGACACTTATGTTGTGTTATGTCTGAAGTCCGTTGCATTTCTGTCTGAGGTGTTTTTTGCATAGCAAAGCTGCCCTCCCTGTGGAGGGTAAGTCTGAAGTGCCTTTTTTTCCTCCACCTGACCCAATCCTCATGTAACCCCTCCGATCTCTATTAAGGTAGCGCGACTCGGGTTGTGAATGACCACAGTCACCAATTCTTGTCATGTGTCTTTGTCTTTGCCTATGTATGTCTGATCTCAGAATTGTGTGTACTGAAACTAATTTCCCTCTGGTATTAATAAAGCATCTTTGAATTTGAATTGAATTGACTGTTTAGGTGTGGATTACTTGTCTAATCAAGACATTTTCAGTGGTCGCTAGTAGCAATGAATGCATTGCAGGCAGTACTCAGGGAACAGAAAAGCCCACAAACCCCTGGCTCAGCAGGGCCAATTCTGCGACACCAGAGCTGAGCCTCAAACGGCAGGTTTTGGAGTCTTATTTCCTGATATTTGAACATCTCGCCAAATATTAGATAACAGCAACGCGACTCTACCACTGACTTACGATGTGGGTACTTTATCTCCACAAATAGCACACTTCTGCTGTGAGGCGTAGTTGTTAGTGTTAATGAGTAGCTTAAACTAGCCGAGACGACTGCTGTTGATTACCAGACAAGATGGTTGAGTCCATGAATGTTAAGTGACAGTGTGACATAGATCGGTGAGGATTGTCAAAACCTTGAGTTTTACCATCTATTCTCAGTCAGGAGACTGTTTTCATGTTCAGCCTGTATGAAAAACTCAGAGGGACCAATTATAATCAGAAAAAACATTTAGGAAATGGGTTTTCAGTCAACCACACCTGTAAAATTCAAATGTGAAACATTTCCATTTGATAACCATCAACTTTATCATCCTGAATAATTTCCAATTCAAACATTCTCTTCCTTTTAAAACCGAACTTTAAAACAGACGACCTGCTATTATCATTAAGCACCCTTTGACACGATGCAGAACTCATGCTTTAATCAACCGGGCAGCCCCAGAAGGACTGGAGAGGAAAAAGAGAATAAAAAATAAATTACCTCAACTTCTTTTTGGTCAGCATCAAACACGTTCCCTTCAAACCTCTTTCATTTGTCTCTCTGGATCCCATCATTTCAAAAGACCAGGTCTTTGACTCACCTGCTATTTTGCTCTAATCATTCTTGAAAAGTAAAGCCTTTTAACTCACATGTTTTCCATTCATATTACATTTGTGAACTCCAGTAAATACGTGCGATCTGACACCAAAATATGCGAGCAGTACCTACAGATGTGTGATGAAAGTTAAAGGCTCTTGGAATCTCCTTTTTCCATCACACTGTCTGCTTCTGATCTTTTTGTGCTCTTTGCCAAACTCAGTTTCACAACACTTTTTTGAGGGCCTTGGAGAGCTCGTTAGATCTTGGCATGATGACACCGAGCATTCTAACACCAAAGATAATTTGGGATTGAAGATGTCAGAAGTTTAAATGAGACGGATTGTAATTATTGGCTACTAACGTTGAGCTCTAATCTTATAGATCTGAAAGTGCAACAGATGCTTTTGTGCAACTGTCTAATCTGTTTGTGTTGAACTTTGAAGACATCTAAAAAAGTCACTTTTTTATGTGAATCATTGTTATAAAAACGATTTCAAAAAGCCGACATTTCCCCCGGAGACATATTTGGACTTATTTTTTCACACCACTCCGCGATCATTTGTTACACTGACAGTTTTTCTTTATGCTTCCTCTAAACTATTTCAAATTCCTAGATATTTGTTATCACTTTGCCACAAAGAAATACATTTTCATCTTGCAGTAATCTGATGACGCTGAGCTAATATTTCTTTTATTGATTAAAAGAGCTCAGATCAAACTAGTGCTTTAGCAGAAGAAACTAAACACAAAATACATCGCTACTAACTTCCTGCCTTGAGAAATGGAGTTAAAACAAAACTGAGTGCTGAGATTGAGGTTATTTCAACATCTGGCGGACACCCACGCATGATGAGAGATCACTTAAACTGTAAACAACAGCGCTTGGTAAACAAACTCCCCTCTGTGAGAGAGACGGCGTGACAGACGTAGAGATTTGGAGGAAGTGGAAATGTTAATCTTGCTGTGAGATGTGTCTCTGTGGCTCGATAAAGATTACTGAATAATATAAACCTTGCTGCATTCAACTAATATACAACAAACACGTTCTATTCTTTTGTTTAATGTTGTGGGGCCAACGTTTCTCTAATCAAAGCTCATCCATGTAAAACTGGTACTCTTTCAACCTATCGTTGCCATTTA